TCTGTTGCCAAATTCTAGACTAGGATAATGATTATGAAGGCCTGAACAAAGCCAAGGGAGGTGTTCATCCAAGCGGGATAAACCTGGCAATCGGAATTACTCAAACAGACCCTCTTGAGCCAAGCACTGTGTTACGTACTTGAGAAACATCAATGAACATTTCCTTTCTTTAGTGTCACAAAGCCCTTCCAGAGCTTAGGAGGTCTAATATAAGTCTATCTTTTCTCAGGCATCCTGCCATTAATCATGCAGGTAAATAGTTCGCAAGAATAATTCCTGGCTTACATAGCTAAGAAATCGTGGCCATGTGGCGATTTACAATGAACTGTGTTGGTTTGGGCTGCAGTTTTCCCTCTGATGTATTTAATCATCATGGCTTTTAATAATAATGTTATTATATTGGTTCACATAAATAGTGAAGATTTTGCATGAACTTTTGTGATTTTCTACCTATGTAATGGCCTCCCTGGGCCCCATTTCCAGTCTTTCTTCTATCTTAGGTACCTGTACTTTCTTTTCCTAAATTCAGCCCGACCTTAGCCTGGTAACAGAGCCCAGATCTAGGCAGGAGACGTATTCAGGAAATATCTCTTTTGAAGCTTCTGTTTTCAGTTGTCAGTGAGACTTGACTCAGGTCTCCCCTTGACCTGGTTTCTCAATGTCCCTGCCCTTTGCTTCTGCTCTGTTCAAGGTCAGCCCAGCAGTAGTGGCTTCATGAGAGCACGCACCACTTGCTGCCTACCTTTCTTTGTGCTTACTCTTGGCCTGCATGACCTAAAATCCATGTGCCTCCTGCTGCTGAACTTCCTGGACCCTGCGTTCAGTTAAGAGCTTTCTGATGGCATGTGTCCCGCGTGTGCTTTCTCCCTCCTCCCACCCACCTCACCTAGCTCCACCACACACATCTCGTTCAAATCTACTTTTAATACTCAGATTCATGTGTATTTGTTGCCAAGAAAAGACTCTCCTTCTGCCCCCATATTCCTACAGTGTTACTCAGCTTTTGCATGCATTTGTACCTGTGGTGTTCCAGTGAATGAATTTAGAGGTAATTCAGAAGCTCATATATAATATTTTTAACTAAATCTATTATGTGTTTAGCATATTCAGAACTCTCCTTCCCGGATTTGGAAAGTTAAGAGGAAAAATGCATTTGTATTTAAAAGAAACTTTTTCTCTAATTATTGCATATATTCCTGAGAGACTACTTGGGGGTAAAAATGTTCATGAGGGTTTACCAATTTACAATCAAATATAGTAAAATTTGAAAGTAAAATTTTCTTATAAAAAATGAGTTTCTTCTTTCAGAAAACATTTATTATTAGCATTATTTGCTTTTCGTTGCTCCCAGTAAACCACTTTGCATCCCTATTCTCTTCCTCTCAAATCCCGTTATGATTCATTTAATTCTGTGCAGAAAACACATATGGTTGTCATGTTGGAGTTAAGTGTAAAACAACTGTGTTTTGTGGATTCCTAGAGATCTCTCATAATATTATAGTTCTGGATTCTGTGACTTTGGGGGCATTTTGATGAAGCCCCTTCAGTTTTTCCTACATCTTAAAAGATAGTGCCTAAGTACTGTATCAATGTATTTAGTCGTCTTTCTTTATCAATGTAGAGCTTCCCAGAAGTATGAGTGATTTTACAGTAGAAATCAAAAAACAGAAAGGATAGAGGTTAGTTGAATTTTCTTCACCTTATTTAATGATCTTGTAAGGTTCTTAAGATTTTAATTGCAATCTGTAAGTTATAGAACTC